GCATGGGTCTACACATACACGTTCTTAAAGCGCATTAAAAGTGGCAATTTTAAGCTATTCACACCTAAATTTGATACCTGCTTTTGCAAAACAGGTATTAAATTTAGGCGCAAGTAGCTAAAATGCCTTAATACATGTGTACATGCACTAAGGCGCATTAACACCGTGTATGTTGACTGACTTGGGACTAACATTAGTCCCAAGTTGGTCCGCACACTGTGTTAATGTGCCTTAGCATGTGCACATGTAGATGCCTTACGCACTAGGCAAATGTGCATTACGTTTAGGTGCGCATAAATGCACTTGTAGACGCACCCTATAATTCCTATTTAACGAATACTTGCAAAGTACTTTCAGCTGCCAAGGACAGAAACACTTAAGTGAAAGACAAACGCCCAAAAGGCCTAAGCTTCCCATAGACTTTTAATTGCTTTTTACAATGATCTCTTATAGGATCTTACATTCTGGGGCTCTCCCTTCTGCCTCCTCTGTACTCCACAGGCAGGGAACTGCACCTTCTTAGTGTCAGCCTTGTTTAGGCACCATAAATCTTTTTTAATTAGTAATTCACGTTTAAAATGCAGTAACTGTCGTACAAATGGTAAATGAAGCACATGTCGGGGACTTGAAACAGAGAGGTAACTGACTCTCTTCCAATAATTCTTCCCTACTGGCAAAAGGTGATGTTCTTAATGAGAAAAATCAAAGCTGCACCATGGCTCAGGGACATAATCTATCTTTGCCAACTGGCACTAGCCCAGGAAGGCTGAATTGCATGGGATCCTGGGGACTGGGGCAATGGAGGCTACTGGCAGCAAGGCAATGCTGGGGACTCTCAACAGGCTGGAACCCTACTAACTGTGGGAGGGCTGCTGATATCAGCTCTTGGACCGCTAGGATATCAGTGTGAGTGATTTCTGGCTGAGGCACACCATTAGCACAGCTGGAGATGTCTGAAGAATAGGGATGTCCTATGACAGAATAGCTGCCAGAGGTCAGGTGGGTTTGAGTCTTGGCTGCAGTGGGATGAAAGCTAGGATTGTTGGATCTGGACCTAGCTGAATGCCATCAATCCCTTTTCACTGACTGAAATTTTCCACACAGAATCTCTGGTTTGCACTATATGTCCTGGCCCCGTATGATGTAGCTTGCACTCAAGCAAGCAGCTCCCTCATTAAAAGGGAAGAGAGGGAGGCAGGGGCATGTCGTTTTTAGAAGGAACCATTTATACGAAAAGTCCACCCCTTTTCAATCCACCGGTACCCAGTTTACTTAATCTCACAAATATCCCTTTTCCCCCTGGAATAAACAAAGGGGTGAGAGGATACAAACAGTGAGGGCTGTGTGAGGTGTTAGGGAATTGTCGGTTTTTATGCAGTTTGATAACTATAATGGTTGCAGAGTTCTTAGGGAGATGTCTTTTATTGGACTAACTATGTAGTTGGGATAAAGTTAGGCAAGCCTTCAAATGCAGGACATTCTCTCTCAGGTCTCAGAAGCAAGTTTTGTAAAATCACCCAGAGCTCTGCCTGTAGGTACTCTTGAGAAACTGAGACCAATTACCACATTTACTAATTCAGGATTATTCTATAGGCATTTCTATTGTGTCTAAGATGGAAATCCTTTATTTCTTTTTTCAGTACAATGGCTATTTTCATATTGTGGGATGTGAATATTCATCAGTTCACAGTGCCAATCTATTTTTCCTAAATGATTCATTCTTCAAATTACAGCCCTCTTTTAATCAAAGACTTTGCCACTCACTAGGCAGAATTCTTCATGGAAGTGGAAAAGCTGCCCTTGCTTGAAATAGACCTGCTTTTGCACAAATATTGCACAAACCTCAAGTTTGCCCAGTGTAAAAAGCTTTCATTTCACTTTTCTTCTAGCCATTCCAGAAGGTAAATGGGGATATAGCCATTAGCCAATCAATTCCTTTTAAAAAATGATCAAAACCAGCAATTTTTAAATCCCAGTTTCTGTGAAACAATTCTGCTGTTATTCTATCACGTGTTCCTGCCAATCAGGAATTGGGGAAGCCCATAGATGCTTAACAGTTCATTTCCCTTTTCCGAAATTGCTAATTAAGCCCTTTGCAAACAGAAACTTTGTTTCTCCGCTGCTCATTCAAAAGTGGAATTTTCTTTATTGCTTTGGCTTCTAATGGTTTAAATGGGTTTCTTATCACCAAATCACAACTAAGCCAAAAGGATCTGGTACATTTCTTGATGAATCATTTCTATTACAGAAAGAAAGTGTTGAATCTTGCATTTGAGTGAGAGGTGACAGACTTGTGATACTCTTGAAAGACACAAAAATCTAAAGCAGGCTTACTGGTAACAGGTGGGCAGAACAAGGACTACATCAATCTAGGTTTATAGGATCTTCCTCAATGCTCCTCCACTGCACTGTTGAAATAGTGAACCCTACCCCGATTTGCTCACATCCAGCTATCACCCAACTAGCAACGCCTGCCCATGCAGCCTGAGCAGACTTGATAAGAGTCAATGCATGTCTATGACATACACTGCAGTGTAGCATAGAGGTACCTGAGGTAGCTTGGGTGGTGGAGTAGTGTAGCCATGAGACCAAGGTGACCCATATGGGCTAATTTACCCTGCTTGGCAACTCTGAGAGCAACATAGCTGCTATCTCTGGGCCTCATGCAATGCCCATTAGTTCAGTGGAAAGGCTCCCCATTGATAGTAAGTTAGGCTGTCCTTAGACGTAGAGAATTCATAGAGATTTGCAGGGAGAAGAAACAGGAAACAAAAAATGCAGGAGTTGCAATCTATTCTACAGGAGTTGTGCTTTTGTAATGATTACTAAACACCTTTCCCCTTGGTGCCCCTTTAACCTCTAATATAAAGGAACCCAGGAAAGAGCTGTTGTTTAAATTAAAACCTAGCACTGCATTGATGAAAAAGTGGAGGAAATAATTTAGCCTTAAATCTGCCTTCAAGACATGAGGAGTTACTTATGTATAAGCAGGTTGCCTAAAGAAGTGTGTCTCCATGCTCTGTGATCTGAGAACATTAGCTGACGGGATGATGGATATACAGATCCCATGAAAGGGCACGAGCATGGTGAGATGACTCTGGACATCAAGTTTAAATGTGAAACAGACAAGGAGGCAGGTTTTGAAATGAGGGATGGGACAAAAAATAATTCATGAAGGGAGGAAAAATGATTGTGTCGTAAAATTGGAAAGCAAAGGAAGGGTGTGGGGAACAGAGGGAAAGGCAGATATTTAATATTAAGTCAAAAGGGACAAATGGGGGAGAAGTTTGAGAAGGGGTGGCTGTGGGTTGGAGAAGGCTATGCAAGGGCGGGTAGGGTGTATGATGCACCAACCTTATACTCAGCAGGGAAAGTGTGCGGTTAGCCATTGCAGAAGAGGATGAAGTACTGCAGTGGCCTTTGGGATCCAGAGGCTCAGATGCAACTCAGCCCACAAAATTATTCCCATTGAACTCATGCATTTGCTGTTCTTATTACTCCAGACACTCCTAATCACACCGCCAATACCAACTAAGGTGCTTTCCCCACAAGGTGCTTAATGTAATGACTTAACCAGTTTAGTCACAGTGATAGGGAAATGGGCTCTCTGTGCCTCTTTTTGCTCAGATGAGTTTTTCATTTTTACAGAGCGGGTACTGCCCAAGCCATGGCATCAAACCATAGGTCTTTGCTGCCAATATGGTACTTGGGGCATTGCAGGCTCAGTACTGAGTCCCATCACTGACAATCTACCACCCAGTCCATTTATAGGCCAAGGTTTAAATCTGCAAAAGCATATCCATTGCATCCATCCAGAGAGCCCAGGTGCCTACTGCTAACACTTACCCTCCACTCAGAGGTGAGAAAACTAGTGAAAATGCACTAAAATCTCTTGTGTCCTCAGCACTTTTCCCATGGCATCAGAATAGCTGAGGACTAAGTCTGCATTTATTACAGCCTACTTGAGGTTTTTGGTTGCTGCTTCATTCCCCATCATTGCCAAGCTCTTGCTAGCTCAGCTTTTTTCCCCACCTCTTTTATTCCACACAGACTTCGAATGGGTTTATTCTCTCATCAGCATCTCGTTGACCTCCTGTCACTGGCCTGACTTTCCTCCCAGCCTTCACTCTTCTTGCTCAGTCACACAGACCAGCCACCCTGGAGTGCTCCAAACTTTTGTAAAGTGGTGCTGGGTCTGAGCTCTCTCCAGTCTCAGCTGCTCGGAGGAAATCTGCTCACTCCCAGGCAGACTGCAGTGGTATTGACTGCATTGCAGGCGCACACACTCTCACCCGCTTTGCTCAGGTTCCTTAATTAGCTTTACCTTCTTTTATTTTGCATAATCCTCCCACCCCCACCCCCCCACACACACGCTCTTCTCTTCTCTTCTCATCTCATTACTTGAACTACTCCTGTTCTCTCAGCCACTTACAGAGCCCAGCCTCCTTGATTCCCCTACCCCTCCTGCCCATTTAGTTTTCTTTATTTGCAGTTTGTTTAGTCATCTTTTTTCCTCTTTTCTGTTCTTTCTGTTCCCCCTACCCTCCCATCCAAGAGGCAGGGCTTCCCTGTCTGTCCTAAAGCCCTCCTATTTCCCCCCTGCCTATGTGTTATTTCCCCTGGATGCCTGCCTACCTTTGCTCTGAGAGTTTCAGAGGAGGATCCAATACACTTAGCCTGCCAGCTCTTCCAGGAGGTATCTAAAGAGGCTGACAGGAGGAGTCTGAAGGTCTGTCTTACAGCCTGTGGCAGCTAAACGTGGTCTGATGCTGAAAACCCTCTCTCTTTTTTTCCACACTCACATATAGTACTCTTCAAGCCTGCTGCTGCTCCTGCCACACTGCCTGAAAGGGACCTGACACACCACACAAGGAATTTTGATTTCTTCTGGGGAACCAAAACTAAAAAGGCAGGAAAACCCATCTGGAGGTTGTGAAGAAGACATACAGTCAGAGCTGGAAGTGGCAC